CCTCATGGAATGGTAAATTTAACCAAACTCTAACAAAATGGCTAGTTATGTCCTCCAGAGTTGCAATGATAAGACTCCACAATCCTTTGGAGCGCCTGACTCCACAGAAGCACAAATTCAGTCCTTTCTGACCTCCTTTGGCCTCTTATTAGAATCACAGAATCATAGGGTTGGAAGAGACCTCAGGAGGTCATCTAGTTCAATCCCCTGCTCAAAGCAGGACCAATCCCAACTAAATCATCCCAGCCAGGGCTTTGTCAAGCCTGACCTTAAAAACCTCTATGTATGGAGAGTCCACCACCTCCTTAGGTAACCCATTCCAGTGCTTCACCACCCCTCCTAGTGAAACAGTGTTTTCTAATATCCAACATAGACCTCCCCCACTGCAACTTGAGACCATTACTCCTTTTTCTGTCATCTGCCACCACCGAGATCAGCGTGGCTCCATCCTCTTTGGAACCCCCTTTCAGGTAGTTGAAGGCTGCTATCAAATCCCCCCTCACTCTTCTTGTCTGCAGACTAAACCCCAGTTCCTTCAGCCTCTCCTTGTAAGTCATGTGCCCCAGCCCCCTAATCATTTTCGTTGCCCTCCATTGGACTCTCTCTAATTTGTCCACAACCCTTCTGTAGTGGGGGGACCAAAACTAGATGTAATACTCCAGGTGTGGCCTCACCAGTGCCAAATAGAGGGGAATAATCACTTTCCTCGATCTGCTGGCAATGCTCCTACTAATACAGCTCAATGTGCCATTGGCCTTCTTGGCAACAAGGGCACACTGCTGACTCAAATCCAGCTTCTTCTCCACTGTAATCACCATGTCCTTTTCTGCAAAACTGCTGCTTAGCCAGTCGGTCCCCAGCCTGTAGCGGTGCATGGGATTCTTCCGTCCTAAGTGCAGGACTCTGCACTTGTCCTTGTTGAACCTCATCAGATTTCTTTTGTCCCAATCCTCCAATTTGTCTAGGTCACGCTGGACCCTATCTCGACCCTCCAGTGTATTTACCTCTCCCCCCCAGTTTAGTGTCATCTGCGAACTTGCTGAGGGTGCAATTAATCCCATCATCCAGATCATTAATAATGATGTGGAACAAAACCGGCCCCAGGACTGACCCCTGGGGCACTCCACTTGATACCGGCTGCCAACTAGACATCGAGCCATTGATCACTAGCCTCTCCACACATGCCTCTCCTCTCGCTAATAAGAGTAATTATTTCTACTGTTCCTGCCTGCAGCACTCTGAAGTCTTAGTTGTGTGTTTTCTTGTCTCATTCAGCCAAAGTCTCACACTCTAAGGGGTACAATACCATCATAGTGCTAGCAGAGTTATGGAATTGTTTAATATCATTAAGTGCACATATGTACTCTCACATAACTATACTGGGTGCACCTAAGGATACAGCCAGTGTCAAGTGAAGATTAAAACACTAAAATTAAATTATTTTAGTGTTATTCTGGTGTAGGTACAGCTTGGAAAACTTTTCCCTAAATGCAGCTATTTTTACCATCTTTTCAGACTTCCTATGTTCTAATTTATTCCTCCTCCACTCCTCTCTCTCTGCTAGGTCTAAAAAAACATTTGGAATTTCTGAAGTTACTGAACCTCTTTTTAAAAGGTATGTTTGCATTACATATATCTATTTTAAACCCCACATATCGTGTTTACTACAGTATTTTTCCTCTGATAAAACACCTATACAGTAGAAATGGAGCCCATTACTCAAAAATTAGAATTGTATATCAGAATTACATAATGAAAGATAAAGAATGCATTCCAATCCTACTACTGGTGAAGCACACGAATATCGTATAAACCAGTAGCTTCCATTTTATTCATGTGTACAACGTTGGATATGCTAACCAGAATGGTTTGAAACAGATCAGCAGTAGGTTCGAAAAGCACTCCCCCCCTCCAATAGTTTTCTGGTATTTCTATTGAATAGCATTATGGTTCTTTTGAAAGAAAATGTGTTTTGGTTTTCATCTTCCTATTTCCACTAAAGATGTACATGTTGCAATATTCAACACATTTAGATAAAACGAGGACTATTTTGACAATCCACCCCAACCTCCACACTTTTCAATCGTGTTCATGTTCCGCAGGAGCAGAAGACTGAGCTGGAATGAGAATTAGCATTTTGATATGATGCATTCAAATTCTTCTGCATTCTATGAAAATGGCAAGATTTCTTTTTAATATGAGAAACAAGGGAGACAAACCTGTTATATTTATATAAATGCATATATACTCTTATTTTTATATCCCCCTCAGACAAATAATACCTTAATTAAAGAACAGGTATGTGCACTTGAACCACCATATCACAAATATAACCTTTAAGATAGCTACGAAGATGCTCATTAAATCTTCTCACTCAGCCTTTCCAAATCACAACCATGAATTGATCCTCTTCGCATTATGTCATCAACATCCACCACCCTGCAATACATGCCTTCTCCCTGCACCTCCACATACAATATTTAATCTTTCCATTCGACACGGTTACCATTAAGAAATTACAATTTTCTAACTGGAGTGATGAACTGGTGTTTTGTTGGAGGTGGGGTTGGTTTTTAGTTGCTGGTTATGTTTTGTTATGCTGTGTTGGATTTGGATGTGTTGCGTTTTAACGGCGGGGATTCTTTAAGTGGAAATAGTTTGAAAGTAGTTTATCATTTTAGGAAGCTGGTATTGTAATGTTTAGAGTAGTGTTATTTAAGTGATACTGTAAGTAAGAATAGCGTGGTAAGAAGTGTGCAGAATTAGTGGAGGCAGGAGTCGTGTGTTGTGGATGTGAGTGAGGTAAAGTGGTTAAAACAAAATTAATGCTTAAAAAAACAAAAATAAAAAAATACCACAAGACAGGGCTGCAGTGGGACCCAGATATGTGCAAGGGAGAAGCATGGTGGAGAGAAACAGGACAGAAGCTGTTGGGGAACATGTGGGAACTTGAAGTATGTGGAAGGAGTTAGGGAAAGAGTGGGATTTGAGCAGGGGAGGGGACAATGGAGCTATGCTGATTTTATAGGCTGAGGATCTAGAACTGAAGTTAATTCTTTTGTGCAAGATAGTGATGCACTCCCCAAACTGAAGAATGCTATGTGTAAAATCTACTGACCAGGTTTTTTTAAAAATATGAATTGAACACATAGATTTCCTTAATTTCCAGAAAATAGTATGCTACTAGACCATCCCTCCCAGGATCCATGCAGGCTTTCACAATCGTGGAGAAGGAAAGTTTAAAGGACAAAAAGATATTTATTTTAGTGTTTGGAACCCCACATGATTGTGAATTCACAGAAACTGGTCTTAATTTTAGAGTATTATTTGTAACCACTGCAAATTTAAATTTTCCAGTGCTTTGAAAGCATAAAGTGCTTATATAAAGGACCAAGAATTAATGGTTGTGAAGGTTACTGTTGACATACATTTTAAGAGAATAATCTAGATCTTAATTTAGAATTTTCTGCTACCCTGTGACACATGACCAGAAAGGGTGAAGCGTCCTGCAGGATGAATGACTCAAATTCAACCCTTAAAGACATATGGGGAGATAACATTTGGGTTTTTGTGCATTTACAAATATACTGGTAGTGGTCAACAATGTAATCGAACAGTCCCTGTCTATGCTGTATTCTGTTAATTCAGAGATCAAAGAGACATAAATGAACTGTAAACACAGGCTGTTGCTGTATTAATCTCTCTTTGAAATATATAGCGAATCATCTGCAGATGGAGGGAAAACATGCAATTACCTTACGTTAATTTGTGTGAATAATTAAAGGCGATGCTTAGGAAATGAGAGTCTATTGTTCGCCAAGGGACTCCGAGCTGTCAAAGAAAGCCTGAACTATATAAAAACGGCTTGGGTCCTGATCCTGTCATCTCAGATCTGCTTAAGCTTTATCAGGGGAAGTTTAAGTCGCAAGATGAGATCCCAGTTAAGCTGGTACTCCCTGGATATGATATTGGACATTGGACTATAACCTATGGACTAAATTCTAAAAACTCTTTGCAACTACAAAGCTCACCATCTCTGCTATAAATCTGAACCTCAAGAATTTAACTCATGCCTGTATGTATATTGATCTGTTAACCATACTCTCTCTTTTCTTTTTAAAAAATTTTAGTTAATAATTGGCTGTAAGCGTGTATTGGGGTAAGATCTGGAATATTCATTAATATGGAAGGTAATGTGTGTAATCCTTTGGGATTGGTAGAACTATTTTATGTGATGAAATAAGATTTTCATTAATCTTCATCATATCTGACTTGGGTAACTAGGTGGAGGCCTGAGGCTGGGTTACTTTAAAGGAATTGTGTTTTGGACTTCTAAGTAACCAGTAAGGTATAACAAAAGCGGTTTAGTGCTGGCTTGGTAAACCTAAGTATTGAAATATCCACCAGCTTTGGGGTTGTCTGCCCCATCCTTTGCAGATCACCTGAATTGAGTGACCTCAGCTGGCTCCCCATGGGACTCCGGTCACACACCCCTACATTATTCTCTAAGGAGCTTCAAAGTACTCCCTGAAAAAGTTAAGATTAGCTCCACAAAATGGGATAAAATATAAGGTGGGATTTTGAAAAGCCATCAGCACTGGCCTAACTCTGCTCTCACTGAAGCCAGTAGAACGTTGCACAATGCATATGCCATAGATGTTGAATTCAGTAGCAGTTTGTGTTTTACCATGAAGCATGATACTAGTTAGTAGATGGAGATGGGATTATATTTAAATTACAGGTTTTGTGGACTGTAAACTTCTTTATGTCCTTCCAATATTTCTACTTAAAATGTTGTTTTTGATATTGTGACAACTTTTTAGATAATCCAGAAATTTGACATTCTCCATTTTTACAGAGATTTACCAATAAGCTTCTGAAAAACAGACGAGTTTTGAGACTATTCACAATTTTACTTTAAGGATCTATTTCAAAAAGTCCATATTTCACTTGAGGACAGAAGATGACCTATTATCACGAGCCCATAAAGCACTTCATACCTGAGTAAGAACATCTAACTGTCCCACAATATGCTCTAGGGTATCTGCAAGACTTGTCTCCTCCTCTTGCTGGTGCTGGTTCCTGGCAGATTCTTGTGTTTTGTTTTTCTTAGGAGGATCACCGCAATCCATTTCTGATTGCTAGGAAAACAGAGAGACGACTATTTGTTAGTACAATGCAAACAACAGAAGAAGTATTTCTGCCTCAGGGATAGGTTACAGTAAAGTATGATCTGTCCTGGAGAACTGAATCTATGCTATGAAAAGGGATCGATGGTGTTGAGGCAACAGCGCACAGCTAGAAATTAGGAAAGCTGCCATGTATTTGTGTGACTTGGGGAAAGTAACCTCTGGAATATGGAGATAATATCTACACCTCATGGAAGTAATGCATGATTCAAATTACTAAAGATTGTGAAGACCTGTGGGGTACTAGGATGGAAGGTGCTACAGAAATACGAAGTGTACCTGAAGAGAGAGACACCAGGGAGACAATTTGTATACTTTTGCACACACACACGATTATAAATAATATACAAAGTCACCATGGTGATGAACATCCCCTACAATTTTAGTCCAACACTGTAAAAAGCAGAGAGGTTTTTTCAATATTACAGGGAACAATAAGCTCTCTTCTCAGATCTATTGGCTACACTAAACTTGACTTCTACAGTTAAGCATGTAAAATTAAGCAAAAATGTTCCAATACACATGTAAGTTAAACATGCATAGTTTGGTTCAGTCATTTTAATTTTGTTTAGATCTTGAACTCTGTCTCTTCTCACAAAACAAGTCAACTTTGAAGTTTCAATCTCAGCTGTTTTTGTTATGCAAGCTTGATCATTTCACTACATAAACTCCTAACTCAAACATTTTTGCTAAAACTCCCCCTCCCTCCTACGCCCATCCTCCTTAAAAGGTGATCTTTTATGTGAGACAAGCCCCACAACTTTATCTACTTTCTGGATACAAATGAACTGGTGTCAACTGAATAAACTGAAATGTTTTTTGTAATGTAAAAGCTAACTGCTGGAATAAGTGATGCTGAATGTTCCAATACTTACTACTTTACATAAACTATCAAAAATTTACATGGATTTGAACCTAAACTCCAGATCCAGACATCCCCAGACGCTGATCCTCCATCACCTTGCATGATCATTGATAACCAAATAAGAATGTTGACATCTTTCACTTGCTTGGGACTAGTGTAAATGACTGCAAAATGTCCAAGCCAGAGAACCAAGCACTCAGACTTCAAATTGCTGGAAATCCAGATCCAAGTCATGCTGCTCAGGCACATCTCTAGGTAGAACGTGGCTAATGATTTCTTGCCTTCTTCATTCCTGAGCACAGAATTAATAATCTGTTTCTCTGAGTAATGCTGTTTATTCTGTCTCAGCCCTACTTGATGTAAGTCACTTGAACACATTATACAACAATGCTGTAATTTTAAGACTAGGACAAGTTCTTACCCCATCGGAAATAAATAAATAAATAAATAAATATAAATAAATAAAATATATTTTAAAATCAACAGCCCTGCACCCTAAAAATCCACATTAATTCCCTTAGCTTTTGAAGTTAGAATAGCATAATTGTGAAACATTTGTTTTAAGTATTAATTGCATTGCTTGGTGCCCTACATTCCTTCCAGCTGTTCCTCTATACAAAATAAGGCCCTGATCCTGCACTGGAAGACCCCACTGGTGTAATTCAGTGTTTGTGAAGAACCCCATTGAAGTCCATGGATCAGCAGCCCATCCAGGCAAATCGCAAATAAGGAAGTCAGAACCTCATTTGTACACATGCTTTATTTTAAGCAAAGAAGTTGTTGGGAAGAAGGGAAACCACTGCCCTACAAAGAATTTCCACAGTTTGTATATTAGATCTGCTCCAAGAATGTTTAACCACCAAGGATTGCACTGCAAACAGTGACAGTTTACTAATATATGTTTGCTCTAGCACAAGCTAATTAACTCCAAAGGAAACCTGATAGAACTGCAATTTGTCTGAGTTTACCTAAAAGAAAAATTTGATGTGCCCAGTAGGTGATCAGCAAAAAAAAAAAAAAAAAAAACCACCAAGAATATTCTTCTGTTATTAACCAAACTAATTTTATATTTTGATTGACTGGTCTATAGTTACTCCATACCCATTCCTGTGTATCTGAGCTACAAGCACACTAACATTATACAAATCCTCACTTAAAATGTTTACAGACTTCCATGTCAGAACCCATTAGAAGAAGCTGACTCACTGAAGCAGAAAAATAATTGTACTGATAAACTGTTATCCTTTTACCTTTAAACAAAGCAAGAACCTGACAGCTTTTCTTTTTTTAAAAAAATGGTTCAACTTATAATAATCCTGAAAAAATACTTATAAAAGTTTTTTTTTTTGGTACATCGCATTTAGAGACAGTCAAAAAATAAAGGTTTAAGAGCCTACTGCCTCAACATTTAGCTGGCACTATCATTATTCTATGAGATCTTCCCTTCCCGACAAAAATCATCACTTTTCCTTTTCTGGGGTAAGTCAAAGCATTTTCATCCAGATTTCCATTGTGTTCAGATTCTGGCAGAGCTATTAGACTCTAAAAATATGAATTTGATTAAAAAGGGGCAGATGAGGCTCAGATGCCTGTAAATGACACTATTTCCCAAAACATACTAAAACAGAAGTCAATGAGAGTTTTGCCTGTATAAGAAATAGAACCAGTACTTTGCAGGGCAAAGGCTGCGTAGAGTAATTAACAGATTTTAAAATATACTGAATCTGAATTGGGCCTTTGGGATTTCTTTTGTGCCCCACTTAGGGGGAAAAAGGTAGACACATTATTATTGTTTTAAAAACAAATAGATGGGAAAGAGCCTGTGCTACATAACTGTGTGCCAGGTTGAGTGGCAGTTCTTCCAGAAGCAACTATCCGCCCTTTTGGTTCAGTGCAAGTACAACAACAACACAGGCTGCTGCTGCATTATTGGGAAATAACCTGCCATTATTAATTTGTTACTATGTCCCCCTGATTACAGTGATAAATATCATTGCGGGGTCTCAGGAGAGCCTGCAGGTGCTCTCTGGTCCTCCTTTTGTTTTTAATGAAAAGCCCAAGTGCTTGCAAACTTTTCCGTAACCACCACCACCACCAACTTGTGTCTGGGATACTAGAAGTGGCCTACTAGAATTTTGTACCCAACTGAAGAAAAATAAGGAGAAAACAAATATAGACATTGTTTTCCATTTTGTCATAGGGCTTTTTTTCCCCCTTTTGCTGTGCTTTGAAAACAAGCAGCAGCTATCTTATATTTAATAGATGTACAGGGCATGTGGTAAGCTGGTGACTACAATGGGACTGGAAGTAGGTTCAAGAGCCCATTCTTCAAGCAGATGAAAAAGAAAAAATGCTGCAAAAATAATACATGCTATCAAAAGCATGAAATAGGTACCAGCTTCACAACTGTTTCAGCACTATCAAGTGTCATTACACAAAAAGACACCTGTACTCCTTCACTACTAAACTGTAAGGTAACATGCCAGATGAATTCTGGGGAAGGACACTGAAGACAATGACACTGATGTGGAGGTTTAATCTATTTTAGTCATAGTTCAAGTGAACAGTTTATTCAGCACAACTGAGTAAACATATGTGCCAATAAATACCTTATTACAACATCTGCTTATCAGGCATTGGAAGTATAGCAAGAAGCAACTGAACATTAAAAGAAGAATGGATAAGCAGTTTTCAAATACAATACAGCTCTTAGCACCCACTTAAATAGCACACTCCAACTACTTGGGGGGCCATGGAGACAGGGGAAATAATTAGCCTTCATTCCAAAAGTCTTCACATTGAAACTTATGAAAACTGTTCTAACTAGAGAGCATTCTACTCAGCTACCATACTGCTGGGTCTTGGACGAGTCAATTTTGGAACATATAAGCCAGTGGAAAATACAAATTGATAAGCAATTATATAAAATTACAGCTAGCTTCTGAAAAGCTAATATTAAAAAGGGGCACAATCAGCTTAATCACATTTCTATCTGAAACCTTTATACCGACTATTGTTACAATTAACACCCAAGATTAATATAACTGAAAGTAGGAGCAAAAAGGTTTCTGGGTTGGGGGTCTTTTTTTTTGTTTTGGTTTTTTTTGCAGTCTATTTTATCCATTTGACAACACCCTGCCTCTAGTCAGTTTCATTATTTCTCCTTGACTATTAAGTTTCTCCCTTCCTTGACAGACCCTCAAAAGCTAAAAGGGGGAGCTAAAACCCCTCTCAATATAAAACAAAACAGGGAATTAAGAAGTCAGCAGACACTACTTAAAGGGTACTTTATAAAAAACTGGATTTTTTAAAAATAATGTTAATTTAGAAAGAAAACAGTTGACAGTCTTTAAACTATGGATAGTCTGATATTAAAAATATTAGACTATGTTTGAGGGCTTAGTTGGAATTAAACAGGAACTAATGGAAAGAAATTGGCATGGGTAGGTTGTCTTATTTGGGACCCCATTATGCAAGTCAAACAAAGAAGATATTTAAATCTCCTCTTTCAGAATCATTTTCACTACAGGTAAAATGTTATTTTAACTGTATCTGTGGAGAGTAACAGTGACATCCAGTGGAAATTCTCATTAGTTTCAAGATAAACTAATCAGGAAGGTCACGAGTACTACACAATACCAGTTCTCAGGAACTCCCCATCGTGAGGTTCTCTTGTTCCTTCCTGCTCATCGATACAAAATACCATTATCCGAACAAATACAACATGATTCTAAATGTGTAAAACCATTCAAAAGCAGACTGTGAGGAGTAACAGAGGGATCTCATTAAACTGGCTGAATAGGCAACAAAACAGCATATGAAATCCAACACTGATAAGTGCAAAAGTAAGGCATATTGGAAAAAATCATCCCAGCTATACATACAAAATGAAAGGGTCTAAATTAGCTGTTACCACCCAAGAAAGATCTTGGAGTCACTGTGGATAGTTCTCTGAAAACTTCTGCTCCATGTGCAGCAGTGGTCAAAAAGGCTAACAGGAACTATTGGGAAGGGATAGAAAATAAGGCCAAATATAATAATCCATAAAACCATGGTACGGTCACACCTTGAATACTATGTCCAGTTC